ATCGGTGCCTGTCCTGTAGCAGCTTAGTAAATACTTGCTAAATGCACAGGTTGAAGAATTCGAACCATGTACAGCTGCCACGCAGTCCTCCCCACCCCTATTTGGCACAGAGAGAGGCTCTGCTCTGAGTACCCAGACTGGCGCCTGGTCCTGCCGGGCACAGGAGGGCCCGGAGGCCGACGCCCAGGGCTCCCCGCCTCCTCCTGTTGTGAAGCCCTGACTGAGCTCCAGGAGCGCCTGACTGGACTCCACACTTTCCCCATCAGCGGCCAAGACGTGAGGCTGCCAACACCTGGCCCACTCCCCAGGCACAACACGGCACAACGTGGTTGGAGCTGACCCTGCTGGGGACACCCAGACACTCCAGACCAGCCACAGGAGCAGCAGCAACACAGACACTCAGCGTCCCAGCGTGAACTACTGCTCAGGAGGCTGCCTACCTTCCTGGAGGCCCCTGGGCCAGTGAGGGAAGGGGCTGGGTTGGAGCCAGCTCTTCTCTTTTTTTTGGAGCCGGAGCTAAGCTCTTCTGATGTTAAAGCCGTCACCTGGGCCCTGCACCCATTCTGCAGTCCAGGAGCAGAGGCTGAGCCCACTGAGGGGCCACTCCCAGTTGAGGAGCCCAGGATCAGGCCGAGATGTTGGGAGCAGGGTTTGCGTTTGGCAGTCAGGGTAGGGAGTAGCAGCCGGGGTCAGGCATGGGTGAATAAGCAGTAGCCCCGAGGGTGCCCCAGCAACTCATTCCATTGTGGGAGAGTCCTGGCAGGGCAGGGTGTGAGAGAAGGTACAACCCGTACCCCAGAGGAGGCAACAGTGAGCCCCTGGACCTCAGAAGTCAAAGGGCCACCGGGTCCTCCAGGCCACAGGTCTTCACTGTCAGCATCAGCCCAGAAGTTGGCAGGACCCTACCCTAACCCGCACGCTCCTATAGCAGGAAGCCAGAGATCGAGCCTCACTATTAGGAAGAGGCAGCAGCTGTCCCGGGAGAAAGACCTGGTCTGAGCTTCGAGCCTCCCAGAGCCTCCTTGGGGCAGGAGACATAGGGCACCAGGCCAGTGGCAAGAACACTGCTCACGGGGCTGCCCAGGCCAGCCACACAGGCTGAATTCTGCAGGACTCAGTGTTCTTGGTGTGCACTCAGGCCTGAACGGTGCCCACGCGAGGGTGTAACCTGGCAGCTGGGAGGAAGAGATGGGAGACAAAGAGGGAGCCCTTTCCCTTCTTTATAAGGCATCCAGGGCTTCACCACCTCACTCACCCCAACCCCCATCTGAAGAACCACATTCCAGCACAGCACAGGTAATAAGACATCAGTTTATGGGTAATAGTAAGGGACAGATGGGATGGCACCAGGGCCTAGTGATCAATTTCCCAGGAATAAACAGACAGATAGGACTGCACAGACAGACAGACAGGACAGGAGAACAAAGCCAAGTGGGTGTGAGATCCAGGCCCAGCTCCAGCAGCTATGCCGGGGCTCCAGATCTAGCTTTGCCTGGGGACCTGGGGGATGAACAGGCTGAAAAGGGCCTCAGTTCCTTCAGGGCCCCATCCCCTCACTCCCTCCTGGCCCTTACCAGCAGGTGTTATTTCTGGGGCCAGGGAATGGCTTGGGGATTAGGGAGTTAGAGGGGGAGGGGGAGGTCTGGATGGTGTGGGGGTAGCAGCAGCACTGAGGGGAATCAGGGACGGGACACCGCTCAGCAGGGCCCATGTGTCCAGGGCAGGCCCCCCACTCCGCCCATCACACCAACATGGTGCAATAAATAGTTTCAAGTAGTAAGTCAATGTCAGGCAGGAGAGAGCTGGAGACTGATGGACAGGCAGAGGCTCGGGGAGAGGAGCCCTCGCTGCCCAATGAGTCCCCTGCGTGGGCCCAAGTACCCAGGGTTCTGTGGGGTGGCCACATAGGCCAATGCCTTGAGTGGTTGGTCAGGGGTATCTTGGGGGCAGAAGGTGACCTCCTTGGTATCATAGCCACCGAGCTCTGCTTCCCGCACGTGTAGATACTTCAGGGCCTCGCTCACCTGTTCGTCTCGCACCTGGTATGCCACGCCCCAAGTGCAGCCCTAGGAGGAAACAGGACACAGGGGTCAGTCAGGACAGCTCCTCTCGGGTCCGGGCCCGCCCCAGGACTCTGCTCTCTAAGGGAGGTGGGAGGAGGGCTGCTGAGCCACCTAGTAGCAATATCTGCACCAAGCTGTCCTCCCTTTCTTAACCAGATTAACAGGGTATCACCTGTAGGCTTGTCAGGAATGTGCGTTTCAGGCTTTAACAGGAAATCCTTGTGAGGGGCACAGAACCAGACCACCCTTTCCGTCTGTCAGAAGGACATCTAACCTAATCTGCAGCCAAGGACTCACAGACTGTCTGTTGGCACCCCTCCATGCTTGGCCCCAGGGTCCCTATCTTCACTCGGGCACTTACCTCATGGTCTTCGAGAAGGGTCACCACTCGGCCAGGCTAGGAAGGAAGAACAGATTTTGAAAGAGACAAGTTAGAAAGCTCTGCCATACGTGCCAGAGGACTTACCAACTCTGCCAGCACAGGCCTCAGAGAGCCCACTCACCCCGGGGAGAGTGGAGGGAGTGATGCATGGATGCAAGAGAAACAGACACCTGGCAGGGCCCCAGACTGATCATCAGAACTACTCATCAACAACACAGGATCACAGACTCCAGGCATCACACGGCGATCCACTGGGCACACAAATTTAAGCCACAAACCCCCGGGCATTGGTTTACCTATTTCCCCCATCGGCCAGGAGTCCGTCTGCCCACAGAGCCCTGGGCACGCCGGCGCCCCCGCTCCTGCCCGACCCCAGCCCTCTCCCCGGGGCATGGCTGAATGCTCACCATCTTGTCGCTGCCCCGATGGAAGGTGTCTCCCTGCCAGAACCGGCGGCTGTAGCCGCGCACGAAGCCCACGCGGCTGTCGCTATAGGCGAAGTCGGGCCTCCACACCAGCGAGCCGTACCCGAAAATCCACAGCGCCCGGGGCTCGCCTTCGTCCCGCGGGGGCTCCGCGGGCGGGGAGGCGGACGGCGAGGCGGGTGAGGTGTCCTGGGCTGCGGATGCCTGCTTCATGGTGCCGGGCACAGGGACGGGCCCGGCGTCCTCCGGGCAGGTCTCCGGCGCGGGCACGGAAGGACCGAGGGACGCGCACACCTGGCCTGGCACCTCTGAGTCGCTCCAGCTGCGCAGCCCCGGCCAAGGCCCTTTTTAAACCCTCCGGTGGGCAGGCACCGCCCTCCGCCGCCAGCTGCCGCGGTGATTGGGGCGGGGCCAACCCATTTTGGGCCAATGACCTGTGGATGTTGCTGGCCGCTTAACCGCTCCGCCCTGCGAGTGGGTCACTGGGCGGCCGGCCCCCGCCCCATCGCGCCCGGTGATTGGTTCGGCTCCTTCTCTGCAGCAGCCCTGTCAGGAGTGATGCAACGGCGAGGGAGGTTTCCCCAGCCTGGCATGCAGCAAGGGCGCCTCGGATTGCGTCAGGCGGCGGGTCGAGAGCCGGGGCACCGGCTGTCTCCCCGGCAACCTCTCCACAGCCTGGGCCCTTCAAGAACCCTGGCGGGGGGTTCCCAAGAGGGTGTCTCCCCCGCAGTCCTGCCGATGCACGCGGCCGAGCTCTGCTACCCCAGGCAGCGCGGACTCACCAGGGCCGGTGCAGGGCACGGCCCGAAGGAGCGCTCTGGGCGGCATCAATGCCTGGCCCTGGGGCTCCGCCTGGGAGCGCGCACTCGGGAGACGCCGTCGGAGACCCCTTCCGCATTCTGCGCAGGTGTTTCACGCGGTAGGCCCGCGTGAGCAAATGGAGAAACTGAGTCACGGGGCTGACCAGGGATTCTGCAGAGGCTGAATCAGCCGGGCGCCCAGAGCGTGCGGCCTCACGTGAGGGCTACGCCTCGAGGAAGGAGGGGGACCCCCTGAGCTCGCGGGGACGGGGCAAGAGCCAGAGTTCTTGGAACTGCCGTGGTCTCTTTGGCGTTGTTGGCCGGACAGCAGAAGGCCTGTCCTTCACAGGGGAGTGCTGACAAGGCCTGGGCGAGCCCTCCTCTGGCAGGGGAAGCGGACAGTATTGCTTCTCATTCTAATCTAGTTAGGTACTAAACAAAAAATTGTCTGCACACTTGAAGTGATCATTCCAAAGGTGTGTAAGATATAGTCTCCAGTAGGGATGTCGCACTCTAGTGTGTATAGCATGAAGCTAGTTCTTTTAAAACAAGACAAGTTATACATTAATTTTGTAAAAAAAAAACCCTGCAAGAATATACCTAAACTGTTAGTAGAGCTTGTCATCAGCGGAGGACTTTTAATATTAAATGTAAACATTTATGGAAAAGTTTGGGTTTTTACAAGAAGCATGAATTACTTATCCAGTTGGAAAAAATTACAGGCAAAATGGTTTTTTCTTCCCTTTCTC